AGAAACATCCTGTAATTGTCTATTAGCCTAGGAAACCAATAACTCCACCAAAAAAACCCAAAAGAGTCAATGTGGAATTACCTCTCTAACAATGAAAGTGTGCAATCTAATAAAGAGGTACTCAGTCTAGTAAATGGATTATATGATGGTGGCAAGTACAAAATGGTGACAGTGACGTCAACACTGGCATCTCCTTAGCCAAATATTATATGTATAATATGTAATGTAAAAAGTGTGTGTGTGCGCGTGGGTGCGTGTGTATGACAGTGTGTGTAAGTAAGCTGGCTTGGGGACACCCCAATTTCTCTTTAAGGAACTTTTCTTCTTGACCCCATTCTGAGAGAAGGATTCACCTTTTTCCTATTTTTTTTCAGATGGGAGGAATTAAGGTATTTTCCCAGATACCCCCACCCCATGTCCCCGACCTCCAGCCCCTCACCTGGCATCTCGGGGGTTTCTGATGGATTTCTGCAGCTGGTGTCAGTCTCGGTGGTGCCTGGCACTGCTTCTACCAGGCCCTGGTCCTCACACCTGTGGAGGAAAGAGAGGCCCGATTCAAGAGGGCATGCGACTGGAAGAGGCAAGCAGCAAGGAGGGTCCTATAGAGTTGAGCACGGGGGTGGGGTTGTCAGCAGCTGGGGCTTCTGGGAGGGTGGGAGGAACATGGGCACACTCACCTGGTGTGGGGCAGGCAGCGGGCGTTGGGGGAGGAGGTGTTCTGGAAGTGCCCGGCCTTACAGGGCACACAGTGGTGATTAGCCTCCCCAGCCTCACCTGGCAAGAGAGAGGCCAGGCCAGCCAGGATGAGTGGGCAGAAGGAGCCTCTTGCCCAGCTGTGAGCTTCCTTTATGCCCACGGATGGCCCCTCCCTGCCCACCCACCCTATTCTGAGCTGGTACCTTTCCTGATCTCCCCCTTGCCGAGTTTCCCCAGTGCTGAGGGTACCCCCCATGATCCCTGCCCCTGTCCCAGTTCCATTTCTCTGCAGGTAGAGGCTTTTTAAGCCAAAGAGAACTACCCGGAGGCTCACCATGCGCACGGTACCATGCTTCCTGCCCCCATGCAAGATCACCAGCACCCAGCCTCCTCCCTGCTTTCTGCCCTTAGTGACCTCTGACCTTTCAGCTCAACTTCAGTGCCTGGTTGGCAGTTGCGGGGTGGCTCGCAGTGCATACACTCATGGTTCACATAGACGCAGGACATTCCTGGCTGGCAGTGGCACTGGGTTTTCTGTTTGCGCGTGCAAGGTGCAGTCTCCTGGAAGCCCAGGACTTGTGGGGAGATAAGACAGCTTGGTGGAGGGGCTGCACTCCAGGGGATCCCGGTCCTCCCCAGGCACACCTCACTCACTCTGATCACAGGGGCGGCACAGCTGGCAGTGGGGCAGATGGTTCCAGTGCTCATTGTAGGAGTTTTCAGGGCACGTGTCACAAACTGTGTCCTGATCACGGCTACATTCAGCAGAGACGTGAGTGCCTGGAATGTGAGCGGGGCAGTAGGAGTGTCAGGGGACCAGGGTCCCACCCTTACCTCTGCCACCGGCTGTGTGACCCTGGGCCCATCCCTCTCAGCGCCTGCATATGAGGGATGGCCAGTGTCTCTCACTGTCTCTGCCAGCTGGTTTTCCTGGGAGATGGTGGCTCTCTGCCTTCGGAGGCAGCGAGGTGGAAGGAGTCCCCTGGAACCCTCCTCCCTGTCCCAGGCTTCCTCTGGCCAGTGCCTCTCACCTGGGGGGCAGCGGGAGCAGCAGGCCTGATGCTTGGGTTCGTAGTATTCCTTTTCCTGGTCCCGGCAGGTTTGGTTCTCCGTGTGGTATGGGGGCAACTTCAAGGGGAGATAGATTTGGGGGAAGAATTATTGAGGGGACAGTTGGGGAGGGCAGAGAGACCAGAGAAGGAGCTGCCCTTATCCAAGCCAGCACCCACCCACCTGCGTGGCCCCTCCCTCACCATTCGGGGCTGGGATGCTGTCAGGAGACCGCAGAGGCCTAGGACGAGTGGCCCCCAGGCCAGGCCGCCAGGGGAGGCCCACAGCGGGCGCATGGCCGCCAGTCCAGCCGGGTGGAGGCCTGGGGGTAAGGTGAGAGGCCTGGCTCTTGGAGCAGTGGTGACAGCAGCCTCCGGAGCCCGGGGCCGGGACAGGACTCAGGCCGACATGCCCCGGGGGGCCAGAGCGGCCGGGCTGGCCTGGCCTCCAGGGCTCCAGCGCCAGGCTCAGGAAGTGGGAGTGGAGTTGGCCGGCCACGGGGCGGGGACAGGGAGCGCTGGGAGCTGAGCCTCTGTCGCAATCGGGAAGAGGAACAGGCTTGGCTGCCCTGCTGCTGGGCGGGAGGGGGCAGCCGGGAAAACACGTGAGGGCAGCCGGCCCGGAACCGACCTCCTCCCTTCCTCGTAAGCCCGGCTGGGAGAGGGCTGCCGGGGGCGGGCCCAGCTGGTGGGAGAGGGGCAGCAGAGCCAGTGGACAGCGCTCAGACGGGCCTCAAGAGGCTGGCTGGGGCAGAGCTGACCAGAAGAGATGGAGTTCCGGGTGCCAGATCTGAAAAATGGAGTGCCTGGGACTGCCAGACATGGAGGGCGCAGAGGCCCTGGGACCGCCCGCTGCACAGCCAGCCAGACACGCAGCATCTGGGAACCAGAAGTCCTGGGTGCAGACTGTCTGGACTCCTGGGTTCCTGCCCTGCTGTGTGGCTTTTTAAGATAAATTACAAAGGAATAAAAAACTAGCCAGTCCTCCCCTCCTCTGATCCAGCCGGTCCCCACACTGATGGGCACAGGTCACCTACAAAACACTGCAGAGGGTGCAGCCCCGGCTCCCCTGTCCTCAGAGGAGGGAGAGGACAGGAGACAGATCCTCGCGAGCAGGGCAGCACAGGAGGAGCCTTTGAATCCCTTTGAACGGGAAGGAGCTGAGGGGGCACCCAGTCCAGCCCCCTCACCTAAAGGATGAAGAGACTGAGGCTCAGGTAGAAGAGACCAGGACTCCGCAGGGCTTAGTCCAAGGCTGTCCCTTTTCTTTCTCACCATGAACAGCGGCCCTAGAGTGACTTGCAGTAGCCTGTCCCCCTCCCCCTGTGTCAGGTTTTCTGGCCTCCGAGCTTCTGTGCTCCTGGCTAAGTCCCACCTATCCTGGAGGTTCCCTGGGGCTCTGGGCAGCACGCCCACTCCAGGCTGCACAGCTCCACTCAGCCTGCTCTCTGTGACCTGCTGCTTACCCCTTACGGGCTGACTGCGAGCCCAGCAATGCCTGGATCTTTATGTCTGGGTTTCCAGTGTTTAGTCTGACATCCCACGTGTCCCGTACATATTTATGGGTGAAGGACTGATGCCTTGCCCGTGTCACATAGCCGGGCCTAGAGTCCAGGACGACCGATGTCTGGGTCCCAGTTCATTTTAGCAGCACACTGCCTCCTGGTGATGCAGATTGCTGCCCATAGTGTGAGGGGCTGACTTCCTCTCTTGAGATAGGTCACCTGGGCACTGTCCCCACCCTGCACCCTGGAGAGCCCAGTTCAGGGCTCATCCTTACCCTTGGTTGGTCTGACTGGCTGGACAGGCTTTAGGGCAGGGGTGGGCAAAGTTTTTGACTTGAGGGCCACAATGGGTTCTTAAACTGGACCAGAGGGCCGGAACAAAAGCATGGATGGAGTGTTTGTGTGAACTAATATAAATTCAAAGTAAACATCATTACATAAAAGGGTACGGTCTTTTTTTTTTTTAGTTTTATTCATTTCAAACGGGCCGGATCTGGCCTGTGGGCCGTAGTTTGCCCACGGCTGCTCTAGGGGATGGATCTGAGAAGTCCTGGTGCAGGAGTGTGCCTGGGGAGGAGGGCTCACACAGGGGGAGGGGGTCGGGGGAGGACACTTAGACACTTCACTCTCCTCTCCTGGTGCAGGCCTAGGGCCCACACTCTGCTGTAGTGCAGGCCTCCTGGAGAGGGAAGAAATGCCAGAACAGCATGCACTGCTCAAGGGGCACTTATTTCCAGGCCAAGGGAACTGGGGGCCTGGACCGGGCTTATCACTGAGCTCCTAAGGGTGTAAAAGTGTATGTATGTAGTGGCCTTAGATTATTTTTTCACTCTACTTTTTTATTGTGAAAATTCACACATAAATATAAATATACATATACAAAAGGAGAGAAAATAGCATTGTGAACTCCCAGCTTCAACTCAGGGCCAGTCTTATTCTTCCATATAATCCTCCCGCACCCATCTAATCTCCCCTTAATTATTCTGAAGCAAATCCCACACATATGTGTCATTTTGTTTGAAATTACTTCAGGATGTTACTCTAAAAGGCAGCAACTCTTTTTCTTACGTATGCGGATCAAAGACCTTCACTTTTCTGTATCCCGTTATCTCCCCAGAATGTTTGCTGCATGCCCTTTCTGGTCAAAGCTCCTGGCTTCCCAGTAGGCACTATCTCAGATTCTTTTCAAGCCCAGCTGGCTGAACTTCATCCTTCTTTCTGCTGCCAGGCTCATGCTCTCACTTCAGCCTGCAATGACTCTGCATCCTAAGGAAAGAGCCCTAAAGAGATGAACTTTAATCCTGGCCCCACCACTTCACCTCTCTGGGGCTCTTTTATTTGTGCTAGTCAATGGCTGGTTTCCTTGCAGATCTGTTCTCCACCCTTCCCCTGTTTTGAGCTGTATCTCTACTGGGAACTACATTTCCCAGACTCCTTTTCCCCCTGGCTGCTGGATAGGGTCAGCCAATGGGAAGATGTGTAGGTGGAGGACAGGTGGGTGGGAAGAGAGAAGCAGGCTGTTTCGCCACCACCCTCAGCCCACATTTGCTTTCTAACATTGCCTGCAGTTGGCTGTGTTTCTTCCTTCTCTTCTTCCGTAACCCCATGTCCTACCAGGCAGCCCCTACTATTTAGTTCCTGGCAAATAGCTCTGGAGGCTTCTGGGTCTATAATGTGACATTACCCTGTTGTCTTTCCAGCCCTAGAGATGATAGCTGCTTCCTGCTTTGCTGTTTTCTAGATTGCCTCACTGTCTCCTGTTGGCTCCTCCATCAGCCACGTACCAGTTGCCTGTGTTAAATTTCTTTTGTTTGAAAGATTTAGAGTGTTTCCTGTTTCCCGGCTAGACCATGATTGACAAATCTTGTCAATGCATGGTTTTTATGTCTACCCAACCTTTTCCAAGAGGATGAAGGGAGACTCACAGGAGCGAGGAATCCGTGGATTCTTTGTGATCAGGGCATTGTCTCTGCTTCTTTTCTTTCATGCTCTTCGCCAGCTTCCTTGAAGTATTACTGGTTTCCATTGGGCTACACCAGCCTCAGACTAAGTGCCCCATAGACTCGCAGAATGTGGGTGGGTGGGGCACTTCTCCCAAGCCCTCTTTGGAGGAGATTGCTGAGTGAATCTTCTTCCCCATGAAGGACCCAAAAGGGGGTTGGTGAGAATTAATTCAGTCCCTTGGAAAGGGTCTGATAAACACTGAGAAACGTGTATTTGATGAACGTTGTCCTTCTCTAGGGCATTTCCACTACCACTGGGGACAATCCCTTAGCCCAGTCGTCTCAACTAGGGTGACTTTGCCCCCCAGAAGACATCTGGCAACATCTGGAGGGGTTGATTGTCACAATTCAGGGAGTACTATGGCATCTAGTAGGTAGAGGCCAGAGATGCTGCTAAGCATCCTATGGTGCACAGGGCAGTACTTCCCATGACAATGAATTGTCTAAATGTCAATAGAGCGAAGGTTGAAAATTCCTGCCTTCACCCAAAGGAATAAACTTGTGATGGTGAACTTCTATGCATCCTGCCAGGTGATTGGACTAGGAGTGGCTGGAAGGGATTTTCTGGGGCATCATTTTAGATTAAAGAGAAATTCATGCTATATAAGTGCAGATGAAAGGACCACTTTTCCCCACACTGGGGTGGCCACTGTGGAGAGGCTTATTATCTCTACGTTTTTAAAACTAAAGAGTTGCATTTCAATGAATGACACATTTTTACCCTAGAAAGGATACAGGCTGAAATGGAAAAAGCAAATAAAATGTAGGTAAATTAATAGGCCACAAATGAACGGGTTGCCAGAGGAAATTAAGATGTAGTGGGGATTCTTTGTCATATATGTCACTCTCAGTCAAAAATGAACCTTGGGCCGAAACCGGTTTGGCTCAGTGGATAGAGCGTCGGTCTTCGGACTGAAAGGTCCCAGGTTCGAGTCCGGTCAAGGGCATGTACCTTGGTTGCGGGCACATCCCCAGTGGGGAGTGTGCAGGAGGCAGCTGGTCGATGTTTCTCTCTCATCGATGTTTCTAACTCTCTATCTCTCTCCTTTCCTCTCTGTAAAAACTCAATAAAATATATTATAAAAAAAATGAACCTTGGGTCTTACCCCAGATGCTAATTCTGGTGTCTTTTGCACAGTGGGTCAGCAAGTAGGGCCACCAAGATGAATACGCCCGGTGCCTGACTTCAGAGAACTCATAATATGACCCATGCATATGTAGATGCACAAATGCACATGCACACACCAGGATAAGAACAGTATGCAGATGGAAGTGCTGCAATTGTGTTTTAAACACGGCTCTGTCTCGAAGTGTGGTGGAGAAAGTGGTTTCTTCTATAGTCTCCTGTTCCCCAGAGAGCAAGAGGCAGGAAGACCCTTTGAACTCATAACCCTCATCCCACTACAGACCCTCTTGTTTCACTTCTCTCCCTGTAGCCTGTGCACATCTTATGGCCACACCACAGGGTTAGAGTATGGCTGGTGTTGGGTGTGGGGAGGCAGCCCTAAAAGGAAGGAAGGACTGGAGCTCTGAGAGAGGCTGGGGTAGCTTCCAAGACAAAGTCTGCAAGACCCCAGGTCCCCACAGAACAAGACTCGGCTTCTCTGGAAGTTAGGGGAGCGGCACTGAACTTGGAGAGCGGAGGCTCAGCTCTGAATCTGGCCCCACTGAAACCCCTGGGTGACTGTGGGCAAGTCGCTCTGCTTCTCTGGGCTTTTCAGTTCCCTCATGTGTGAAGCAAGCAGCTAGTTGCAGAGTCAGCTGGGAAGGGCCTTTGCAACCCTCTGGGCTGCCTTATCCACCCACTCCTGCCATTTTTTTTTTAAAATATATTTCATTGATTTCTTACAGAGAGGAAGGGAGAGAGATAGAGAGCTAGAAACATCGATCAGCTGCCTCCTGCACATCCCCCACTGGGGAAGCGCCCGCAACCCAGGCACATGCCCTTGACCGGAATCGAACCCAGGACCCTTCAGTCCGCAGGCCGACGCTCTATCCACTGAGCCAAACCGGTTTCGGCGCCATTTTGTTTTTCAGAGAGGTCAAGTGTCATTTTCAAAGTCACATACAGAGTACACACACACACACACACACACACACATTATTGACTTCAGAGAGGAAGGCAGAGGGAGAGAGAAACATCAGTGATGAGAGAATCAAGGATTGGCTGCCTCCTGCACAGCCCCTACTGCGGATTGAGCCCAGAACCTGGGCATGTGCCCTGACTGGGAATTGAACCCGGGACCCTTTAGTCCACATGGCCAATACTCTATCTGCTGAGCCAAACCAGCTAGGATCAGAGTTTAAAGGCAAAAATGAAACTCAGAATATATGAGTGCATGGTAGAGGGGATTAGTGGGGCATCTGTAATACTTTCAACAATAAAGATATGTTTAAAAAAATACATGCAAGTCTATACAGGCACCAAAAAGATAGAAATGGTTACATCAATTACATGGCTCCCCCTGGGCTGAGGGGTGGGAAAGGAATGGGACTAAGAGAAGCTTTCAGAGTTCTGCCCACTTATGTATTACTGGAAAATTGTATTGCCACAAGAAATGTATTTGGGTATTTCTGCACTTTGAAAGATAATATTTAAAATAGAGCTATGACAAAAGTGCAGGTTTCAGATTTCTGTTTTTCTCCCAACAACAAACTTGCTCTGGCCAGTTCCAGATCCAGGCTGCTGCGGTCTCTGAGCTGCCACCCTGTACCCTGGCAGGCGGCTGCAGGGACACCGCACTCCCGCTCAGCCCAGGCCCAGCCCTTGCAGCTCTCCTCCCAGAGCCCTTGAGATGAAAACTATTTGCTTGTGCTTCCGTAAGCCAGCAGCGGGGTTTCAGGCACCAGGCAGCAGATGGAAAAGGCAGGGGAGTGTCTCTCAGAACCTTTGAGATCAAACAGGCTGGGCGCTGCCATCCCATTTGTAGGCAGGATTGTCCCTAAGTTAAGGACCTGGGTCAAGGGAGAATGGAGCTTCTAGGGGTGTCTGGGTCCCCTGGGAAGGTGGGAACAAGGCGGAGAGGTTTTTGCAGGGCCAGGGAGGTAATCCAGGACCAGACTGCTGATGAATCCTTGGACTCTGTGTGAATGTGGGAACCTTCCTGGCTTTCAAAACCAGGGCCAGAGTAGCCTGATTCCCTCAGAGTCTGTGGCTGGTCTATCTAGGGAAGTGGCAAAAGCCCCAAGTAGACAACCCCAGAGGAGGAGAATTCTGATTCCGTTTTCCCTCAGTTGCTATTTTGTTTTGTGCCCTCATACAACTGGCTTATCTCTGTGGTGGCTCAGTTTATTCCCCTGGAAAATGAAGAAAAAGCCAGCCTTTCCCTTCTCAGCTGGGTGTCCCCAGCAGACATCAAAGGAAAAAACAGGACTGGGTTTGACATCCTGGTTGACAGTAGCTCTCGCTTTAAGAGACCATAAGAGACTGCCCAGACAGAAAGCACCCTGGTTGTATCCTGAGCCTAGAGTTCCCTGCTTCCCTCTTCTTTGCCTGCTAAAGTCCCTGTTGTTCCTTACAACACCCAGCTGAGATGCCACCTTCTCCAGGAAGTCTTCGTGACTCTCTCCAGGCTAGAGTCTCTCCCTCCCTCCCCAGGCTCACTAAGCCCAGGGCTTAAAATATATATGTATATTTCAGAGAGGAAGGGAGAGAG